CAGAGGTGTCTCCTCCCGGAGCTGGGCAGGACACGTGCCTGGTGGGTGGGGTCCCCACCCCCACTGTCCCAGGAGGGATCCCCACCCCCACTGCCCCGGGACTGCGATTGGTGGGTTTGGTTCCTACAGCGTAAACAAAACTAAAGAGCCAATCGGAAGCTGAAAGTAAAAATCTTCCAGGGACGCTGGCTCCAGCCTCGGCATTTCCCAGAAACCACCCAGGTGTAAAGGGCGGGGGAGAGGGGAGCAGCACACAGAGCCCAGAAAGGTCACTGGCCTGTTCCCTCTGACCCAGCCCCGCCGCCCTGCGTGGGAGTGGGGCGGACACTGGGGGGGCAGCCGACACAGCTCTGTGCAGCAGGCCAGCCGGGGGAGCTGCGCTTGCAGGGCCGGCTCTAGGCACCAGCAAATCAATCACGTGTGTGGGGCGGCATATTTCCAGGGGCGGCATTTCCAGTTAAGCAGCCACCCCCAGCAATGCCCGGGCCCCACCCCCGCCGGTTTTAAAGGCCCGCGGGAGATGACACAGCCCACTACGCAGCGCTGGCACCCGGATCCCGCTGGCCGCCTACTTCGGGTCAGCCCTGCCCACAGGGGTCCGGGAGGAGAGGTCCGCAGGGGGGTGGCCCCGGTGCAGGAAGCGCTGTCTCCCCTCTGGCCAGGACCATGGCACCCGCCGGAGCCCCTGCGACCTGGGCACGGCCACGTGGACCACGCTGGAGAAGGCCCTGCAGGCGCTGGAGCAGCTGCAGGTCTTGGTGCAGCAGCAGGGCCTGGGGAGAACACAGTTGCGTTCTGAGGCTCGTGATGATCCGATTCTCGATCCAAACGACAGGTTTGACGTTGAACGTGTCCGTTGTATTTTGGATGTAGCGGGAATTTCCACTGAAGAGCGATTTGATCAGTTGCATGGTCTTTGTGAAACTTTGGAATTTTTATACGCTATTAACAATCCGTTTTCTAAAGACGACCTCATGAAGCACCGCCAGGACCTACATTTAGCGCTCAGGACTGATAACGCTGCTGATATTGAGGGAGTAGAACAAGAAATGAGGGCGGGAGGGAGTTTTTTTGCTTGGGCTGGCAAAAAACCTAGAGCCGGCTCTGTTCGCTTGGCAGGCCAAGCCCTGGAAGGGATGGCAAAGGGCAGCGAAAAGACATGTCCCTTGGGTGTCACTGGGCACCAGCTTATGCCTGCCTTGGAGGCTCTTCCAGACAGCAACATGGAAAACCAACCGCCCCCTAGTGCACAGAGTCAGAGCTGCCAGCTTGCGTGTGTCATAGTCCCTGCACTTCTCACACCCAGCAGCGATTCCCTTTGGGATCCGGAGGGCGAGGGGTGGGCAGGCTGTAGCATAGGTTGCTGGAGATCTCCCGGGAGGGGTGTAGAGGTTGCCGGTTTCGGGGATGCTGCCGGGATGGGTTGTGCCTGTGGAACGTTGCTAGTTCCAGAGGCATAAAACCAGAGACTCGAAGGCACAGTCTGTCTGTGGATGAGAGTCGGAGGCCCGGCGCTTGAGCTCAGCCCTTTGGTGGAGCAGCAGGAGCGGCCGTGGCTGGGAAGGGTCCGGTCCCATCCTCACGGCTCCCAACCCAGCCCCACTGACACGGACACTCTGGGGCGAAGGAGAACAAGAGAAAAGGGGGAAAGAAACAGGAAACTGGATTCCTGCTTCTGGGAAGTTTACCCCAAGTCTCACTGAATTGTCCCACCTCTGGACTGTCTCTGAGCGCGCCAGAGGACTAGGGAAGTGGGAGGGGACGGGAGGGTCGGATAATCCCTCTGACAGGCTGCAGGAGGCAGCACCCCAGAAACACAGGATCACACTACCAGTGTCCAAAGAAGGGAGCCAGGGAAGCTCCTGATCCCATCCCCGTGGTTTGTTAGTCTCCGAGGGGGGCCGGGCCGGGCCTAGTTTCCAAGTGTTTCCAGTTCCAGACTAACAGGCCGGGATTTATTCACAGTGTCCCTCTGTCTCAACCCGGCAGGCTCTGCGAGCCAGGGCAGGCCTGGCACTGCCAGACACAGCCGCCAGGCGTGGCAGCAGAAATAGGGGAGCTGGTCTCCCTTAAAGACTGGTCCCAACCCACAGCCGCATAGCCAGGGTCAGACTCTAGGTAATGCCTTGCCTGCTCCGAGTGGGGCAGGGGATGGGCTCTCCCGTCCTACGTACGGCCCTCCCCGGGGGGCACCCGACTTGTCGACCTCCCCGTTATGCCTCGTGGGATGAGGTTTATCGGGGAGGTCGACAAATGCCTTTGATGTCGACCGTGGAGTGTCCAGACTGCCACGATGAGCCGACAAACAGCTGATCGGCACAGCGCGGCAGCCATTTTAATTTAAACGAAGGGGCGATGATTTAAATCACTTCATTTCCCTGTGCCGAATAAACAACTCTACGTGCCTCTGTCGCCAGAGGGATGCGGTCTAGGCACACTAAGGGATCCAGGACCATGTCTTGTTTTTTAACTGTCGTCAGTTCCAGACTAGCACGGCCGGGATTTATTCACAGTGTCCCTCTGTCTCAAACCGGCAGGCTCTGCGCGCCAGGGCAGGCCTGTCACTGCCAGACACAGCCACCAGGCGTGGCAGCAGAAATAGGGGAGGCAGGAGGGACCTGGTCTCCTTTAAGGACTGGACCCAACCCACAGCCGCATAGCCAGAGTCAGACCAGTCTACGGGTGCGTCTACACTGCGCGCTGCCTCGGGACGCTGCCGGTGTCCCCAAATACCAATTCCACGTCCTCTGAGCGCCTTTGTTCTTTCGGAACAGAACGGGCTCGCTCCTCCGACCTTCACGAG